TGTTATATGGGAAACTGTCCCCTTGGCATTGAAAAAAATAAAAACATTTAACAGGTGTAAGAAACTTTATATGGCCCACCTGATTTATCTTTAATCAAATAATATATGATATCTATTTAGTGATCAAATATGTTGTAAGTAACTATCCATATGTAAATAACTATAATTATAACAGAGTTAATAATAATAATAAATGTCCGCTTATATTTCGGTCTTTGTTGCCGCTGCTGCTGCTGTTGTTGCTGATGATGTGTTGTTCTTTTCCTCTCCTTTGTCTCTGTTTCTGCTTTCGTTCTTTGTTGTTGCTGTTGTTTAATTGTTTGTATGTGTGTCTGTTTTTCTCTTATTAAGCTTGTCCTGCATAGATTTCTTTCTCGGTTCAGTATATCTCTAACATACTTTAAATTGTATACACGTAATTCTCTCTAGCACATCAATCCTAGCTCAGTGCCACTTCTTTGTTTATCTAAATGTAGGTGGTGGCCAACTAGAAAGCTTTTGCTACTTTGACCACCACGCACATTTTCATAATCTGTACTTTATTTATTTTATTCTGTAATCATTTGTTGCAATTTTACTTTTCTATATATCTATGTTAATTTTATGCAAATAGTGTGAAATAAATGAACCTTGAACCTTAATTGAACCTTGAATTCACCATTTAATAATTACAACAATGACCAACACATCAAAAGTTTAAAATTTTATTCATTGGCAGGTAATGAAACGCTCTAATTTGTAGCACTGCAAATTAACCAGCACAACCCCAAACAGTAACATTGATGTCATCTTCCAATAATTCACCTGTAAGTGGAGGCTCATTTTACGATTTTCCGTTGTATTTAAAATTTATTTGATTTGCCTTTCTTCCAGTGGACCTTGCAGGGTTAGACCACAAAATGGCCATGATGATCGTTGCATCTTCCTGCAGGTAATATCTTGGTTGTCAGTAAGCATAGATCAATGATTTTTGAGCCGAGAGGACACATTAGATCCTTGCTCTCTGACTCCAACTCTTGTAATTTAATATCAGGTACATTTTAACCCCACCTCCAAAGTCTTTGGTATCTGTTTCATTGTCCCCTAATCTGGTGGTTTTGAGTAGGTATGGTTCTACTTAATCCTAAATCTTATCATTCACCTTAGTTGCAGGGTCAAATGGTTTCACCCTTAAGATCAAAACATAAATTCTCTACATTGTCTAAAACAGATCTCTGTAAATATGAGCTTTAAGAAAACGTGGTGATTGATCAAACAAAATTAATTTGTTGATATTCTGCTTTCCTCTTTCCAATTTAAACAACATTCATTTGTTGATATTCTGCTTGCCTCTTCCCAATTGTCTACATTGAAATGTACAGATATTGCAAGGAAAAAGAACTTCCCTAGAGTGCTAGGGTTATCCCCTTCAAGTGGATGTGCCATGACTTCAACTTGAAAGAACTTAAAAAGATAATAGCCATTCATTGTTTCATTAGATACTTTTTTACCAAGAACCTAAGATAACTATTTTTAAGTGAAAACAATGTTCTTTGAGATTGTGTAAAATGTATTTGCAGGACGCATTTAGCGGTATACAGGTTTTACCCTTCTACAGGGTCTACTTACAGTGTCTTGTCTGGCTGATTCAGCGCAACATGTAAGTTTGTTAAGATTCAACTAGCTTCAGAAATCCTCCATCGTCACTGAATGGCCAAACTGAAGCATTTCAATTTGTTATTAGCTAAGCTTTCAATTTCCCATGGTCACTGGTCTCTGTAATCATGACCATCCACTTCAAACTCAAATTACAGGCGAAGCATTACTACCGTAAAATCTTTTATGGCTTCTCTGTCATTCGTAAAAGATACTCATGCAACTTTAAGCAGCCTCTGAACGCTCTTCGCTTACTTTGATTAAGTTGTAAAAAATGTCACTTGACAGTCATTGTGAGTATGATAGCCGTTTTTCCTTGTTCCTCACTTGTGACGACGTGAAAAACATCTTTCTTTTAACATTTTAATACCGTGGGTAGTTGTGGATTTCTTTCAACATGTATCTGTTAATTTTCTTTTTCAGAATACGCTGCCCAGCTTGTGGGCATAACTTTTTTCCCCAAGGGTAAGAGTACCCCAAGGTCTGCATCGGGGCACAGCTTTAAAGAAGTAAAGCCTATAATACCTAGAAGTGAAGCCCAATATTACCTTAGAGAGCCGTGCATCACTCGAGCCATGCCTATGAAACAAGACTCTGGTTCGTCCTAGAACCTCATGTCATATCATCAGGCAATCACATCTGTTGCTTGTGATTAGGAATTCCCCTCCTTTTCTTTAAAAAAGGTTGACTAAGTGTAATTATTCCATTTTTATCAAATAAGATAAGAGACGCAGATGTGATTATTTTTAATACAGTGGAGATCACCTTTACTCTAAAACAATTATTGCCTAACCTTGTGAGTCACGCTTGGCCAGCCCATATGTTCCTTTAAGGCCTTATTTATTTATTTATCTTTTATTTGATAGTCATACCCTCTATTGTTTAATAACAAAGAAGAGAACTTGTGATAAATAAGTAGCAAACTTGTTGTAAAATTTAACAAAACGGAATTGGCAAAGGATAGTTAAGATTAATGATATGCCCTTGTATTAAGTTATAGTTTCCTGAGGGTAAAAGTAAAAAAAAGAAATGTAGTATTTTGCTGACTTTTGATTGGAGTTCGTCATGATGTAAATTATTCTTACTTATAACACTTCCTTTGACAGGTTTATGGATAATGTCGTTAAACTCGTCGTAATTTGCGGTGGTGATCTATAACAATTGAGCCAGTGGTCGCATAGATATCCCCACAGGCCCCCCATTTAACTGTAAAATCGACTATTCAGATAAATCAGGCGTAAAAAAAAGTCCAGAAAATTTGGTTTCAATAATTGCGGCGCTTTCGAGCATACGCAAGCTTTTAAAGTACCACTGTGTACGACCGCTCGGTCAACACATTTTATCATCTCCAGTTTCTGTTGACCTGTGTTGGAGCGTAGACCACGGTAGATTACTATACATTGAAAGGAAAGATATGAATAATTAGCAAAAGCCTCTTAAAGATGGTCAAAACGCTTTATGACAACATAACATAAAAGAGAAATTCATTACAAAGACACATAAAAAGACAGAAATTTACTAAAATTGCGTTAGGGTAAACACTTTTCAGGAAAATTAAAAACTTGGTTGCCCGAGAAAAACCCGCCGAACAAGTCAGGAAAAAAATTGAAGTTCAGTACACCAATTACATTGTGATACTCAACGGAATAAAGATTAGAAGACAAATTTCAGAGCTCTAAATAGCCCTTCTGATCGATAGAATCCACGACAATTCTTAAAACCAAGGAAATCCAGGTAACGTTACAGTTCATTGCACGCTTTTCGTTTGGTTCTTTGAACAAGCCATGATAAGACTGACATGTTGTCTTCTAAGCCACACCTAATAATTACACCTGCAGATTTGCATAACTTCGAAATTTTCGATATCTTGGCGCTTTAGAAAGCATTTATTTTCTTCATCTTTGATGAAATTAAATTTTAAAGAAAATTTAATTCAATTTTTTTTAATATTTCAATCTTTAGTTCTGAAATTTTGACTTTTTTAAGCGAACAGAGTTGACACCCCATCATTACCTAAGACGCATCTCGTCTGGGAATAGTTTTAAATTTAGTTGTTTTGAGTTTTCTGTCTTGTGTTTTGCGGGTGTTGGGATTTTGAGAATTACTACCCCGCTTCAGAAAATACAAAGGAATATTTTGAAAGAAAAGGTTCCAAAAAGTTCCATACAAAGTTCACGCGTGCAAGTAAAGCATGACTTAGCATTTTAGAAGTTTCTAGATACTTCTTTTTAGTCACTCTCCATAACACCACTCGCATAATTCTAGCAGATAATCAGAAGGCATTTCTTCAGATTTTCCCAAGGGAGGAAGATAAAGATGCCTTCCGATTCTTGTTTAACATAAACAGTAAAGAAAACGCCTGGGATTCACCAGAGTTCCCTTTAGAAGAGAGTCGAGCTCATTCCTTTTGGGTGCTACCCTAAACTATCACTACGATCAACAAGGTGAAGAATTTCAGGAACCTGTCCGAGCCCTAAGAGGAAACACATACGTAGACAATTTGATAAAAACAGGGGAAGGGGAGGAAGTAGAAGAATTCAAGAGGGAAGCAACCAGTATTCTGGAGAGGAGGAAGTTTCCCGTCCACAAGTGAGAATCAGACGTTGAGTGCCTCGAAAACGAAGATTCGATAAACCCAACTAAGATCCTAGGGACGTTCTGAGACAAGAGAGAAGACAAGCTGGAGGTACAAGTACCAGAACCCCGTGTCAATCAGCCACTGATAAAGAGAGGACTACTAAGCCATCCGCCAAGTATCTACGACCCACTAGTAATAATGTCACCGACAACTGTAAAAGGAAAGCAGATCTAACGAGATGCATGGGACGAGATGACGGGTTGGAACGCGGATTCAGAGAAGGAGTAAGTGGATCAAATGGTCTACTCAATTGAAGCCCATGAAAGTTCCAAAAAGCTTAGCAAGAGGAGCTGATCGAGCGCAAGCCGTGCACTGACGCCATTAACGTTGCATGTTCAGCGGCAGCCATAGCCGCAATCGAGGGCACGACAGAAGTGGTCCAAGGTTTACTCAAGAGCCCTATCTATCGCGAGACCAGAACTACTGAGCGGTCAGATGGTGGCAAACATAGTCCGAAATCTACATAACGCCCTGGAACGATGGCCTATTAGTTCCACAACTGTATAGATGGACAGTATCGTTGCCCTCTATTGGATCACCCATCCGGGAAAACCTTGGAAAGTTTTCAAAGGAAACCGGCTGAAGGAGATGGCTAAAATCACCAAGGAGACAAGAATCAACTGGAAGTACTGCCCAAAAGAGGAGAATTTGGCTGGTCTGGGAGGTGGAGGAGCCAGTATCCATAGGATGGAGACAGGAGGGTAGCTAACAGGTCTAGAGTGGCTCCGTGATGAGAAGCATTGGCCAGTCAGCCAGATTTCCAATGTACTAAAGACGTCAACGACGAAAAAAAAAACCACCAAAGAAGAAAGTCTCTACACCAAGAATCACAAGCCTAATGAGTGGAAAGCACTAATAGAGAGAAACAACTATTGGAAGTCTGGGAGTAACGGCGTGGGCACTGAAGTTCCGGAACAATTCCTTGCCAAAAAGTCGAACCACTGTAAAGATGATGGGGCCCTTGACAACGGAGGAGATTAAAAACGCAAGGAATCGTTGGGTCAGAAAGGTCCAAAGTAGTACGCCACCAAACCCACAAGCACCTGGCTGGCAGTTATTCAAGGATCACGCAACATCCGGAGGTGCAAGGGAAGAATACCAAATTATAATTCAATATACATCGAGGGTGGCCTATTTGGCGATGAACAGATAATGAATCTAGGAGTGGCAAAAACAATGACAACCATACGAAATAACTAATGGATCCAAAGACTGAGGTCCAAAGTCAAGAAGATTATAACCTCCCGGTTAGCTCAATTGGTTAGAGCGCTGGACTGTTGTGCGGGAGGTCGAGGGTTCGAGCCCCGGCCGGACCAACACTCAGGGTCTTAAAATAATTGAGAAGAATATGCTACCTTTCTATAACATCAAGTAATGGTTAGATATTCTAGTCTTCTCGGATAGGGACGAATAAATGGAGGTCCCGTCTCCTCCAGGGTTAGGGTAGGAGACGTTAATTTCCCACACACGAGATTACTGTGTGATGGATGTCCTCCCCTGGGGTGGGATGGGTGGGTAACAGGACCCCCGTTGATACCAGTGTTTACTACACTGAAGGGGCTATCCTGTATAAATATAGATTTCTGTCTGTCTGTCTGATGTAACATCTGCAAGGTGTTCAGCACGAAGCCCTATGAATCCACACCAACAGCAGACTTTGAATGCAGAGTTTCCATTTAGTACATTGGCAACCACTTGAGATAACTGAATTAGATTTCAAGGGTCCACGAAATAGCAAAGGAGGAGTACCACGTTCTAATCTTTACTTGTGCTACCTTGAGAGCTGTACACTTGGAGGTAACTCAAGGTCTTAAAATAATTGAGAAGAATTTGCTACCTTTCTATAACATCAAGAAATGGTTAGATATTCTAGTCTTCTCGGATAGGGACGAATAAATGGAGGTCCCGTCTCCTCCAGGGTTAGGGTAGGAGACGTTATTTTCCCACACACGAGATTACTGTGTGATGGATGTCCTCCCCTGGGGTGGGATGGATGGCATATTGGGCGCACTTAATTTGGAGCCTAGCTCTGTTGTGCGACCCTCACCACACTCTGGTGAAATTGTATAAGTAAATAATTCTAGTCTTCTCGGATAGGGACGAATAAATGGGGGTCCCGTCTCCTGCAGGGTTGGGGTAGGAGACGTTAATTCCCACAAACGAGATTATTGTGTGATGGATGTCCTTCCCTGGGGTGGGATGGGTGGCATATTGGGCGCACTTAATTTGGAGCCTCGCTCTGTTGTGCGACCCTCACCACACTCTGGTGAAAGTGATTAAATAAATAAATGAATAAATAAATAAATAGATCGTAGACGGCGGACGAGTTTCAAAGAAAGCTAAACTCGTTTATTACTGACAGAAGGACAAGACTGAGTCTCATCACTTAAGATAACGCAACCCCTTTTCAAAGTCATTGCCAGCTGGGTAAAGAAGATGCGCAAGAACGAGAGGCTGCAACTTGCGAGAGAAGACATCAGATGGTAATTCAACCTTTCGAGATCCCCATGGTGGAGGGGAACGTATGAGCGATTTATTAAGTACATCAAGAAGACCCTGTACAAATCAGGCAGAACAAGGTGTATTAAAGTTCGCAAAACAACCAGGTGGACAATTAGACATGGTTTGATGCTACTCTAAATCTGGTTTACAGATATAATGTAACCAAGGAAATAACAATTTATCGACCCAACGTTTCGACACTCCTTTTATAACTGCCATGGGCGACTGATTCTTTAATTAAGAAGGACAAACAACTCTAGCACAATTTTCAACACGAGCTTCTGAACGTTTAATTGCAATAACCGATAACGGCGGCCGGCATAGATCGAGGAGACAAACAAAAGGGGCGAAACGACACAGTTAAAACTGCAAATAAAACAGCGACCGAAACCTATTACAATAGAAACTAAGCTAAATACACTAGGAAAGCTACAACGAAAGCAACGATGAAAACTACATAGAGCACAACTCACATTTATTGCGATATTGTTGATTCCCTGCCTAGCGGCGAAATAGCTGCACGAAGCGAATGACAATAATCGAACTTACTGGACAAAACTGCAAAAACAACGATGAACAATACGGTTTAAATACATGCTACGTTACGTAACGTTACGAAATGACACAAAGAAAGCCACGCCAATTTTCTTACTACGATTAGCACTATTTGAACAAGAACAATAAACAAAGGAAAATAATAGGGCGTTTCCGATCTACACCTTTCTAGTGCCTTCATCAGGGGTGATCTGATCGTTGCAACGAGAGGTCCTTTTATATGTTCACTTATTAGCTGCCCTTTTTTCTGACAAGGTTTGAATAGGCGTTAGGTAGTAAACCGCCATCGACACGATTTAAAGTAGCGCGGGCGGAGTTGACATGCCAAGCTTCTAAACAGAGGTGCTGGTGG